TCAGATGACTTCTCGAGGGCCCCAGCTCCCCAAGACGGCCCAAGAAGGCCCCAGTACGGCCTAAGAGAGCCCCAGGACGGCCTAACAGAGCCCCCAAAACGCCCAGACGGCGTTCTCCTACGAAGTACATCGAGCTGACCCAACGATCTTGGTTCCACGCTTGAGGCTCGACGTGTCAGCTCTCCGATCGAGAGAAGCAGGCATTGGATTTAGATTCGAAGTTCGACGATCGAAGATTTCCTGAGTGCCTGGGCCCCCCAGGCATCCAGGAAGCGACCAAACATCGGTTTGTTCGGAGCTACTACAACTTCTTTGGCGTGTCATTGGGACGCTCCCTACTTCATCAAAGGACCTTCGCGCGTGAAAGCGTGCAAGCGCATCGGGCGAATGCGGTGTCAGCAGGCACCAGGGATATCAGAAAAATGAGCCGGTCGCCCGTCCAGACCTCGAGGTTCCCCCTGCTGAAGCAAACGATGATTCGTTGTTTTGCCGGGGAGGGTCTGGAACAAGGCGCATGGCGCGAATCGCCAACGCAGTCTTGTATAGCTACATATATATATATATATATATATATATATATATATATATATATATATATATATATACACATATATCGGCGCACCGGGTCCGGGGGCCCGGGGCCGGGACCTCGACCACAAATGTGCACCCCGGGGGGCCCGGAGGCTCGTCGGGGCTTGCCGGAGGCCTCCCCAGTCAGACAAGACGGCCCAAGAAGCGCCCAAGACGGCCCAAGAAACTTCCAAGAGGCCTCCAAGAGGGCTCCGAGATGCTGAAGATGGCCTCCAGACGTCCAAGGACGCCCCCAAGAGGCCCCAAGAAGCCTCCAACATGCGTCCCAAGAGGGCCCCTAGACGCAAAAATTGGCCCATTCCCTTCGTAAAACGTACATTTTCAACAAAGTTGTCTTTTGGGCTTTCCGACGTTACAGGACGGCCCAAGAGGCGCCCAAGACCGCCCCAAGACGGCCCAAGAAGCTTCCCAGAGGGCCCCAGGACAGCCCAAGAGGGCCCCAAGACGGCCCAAGAGGCGCCCAAGATGGCCCAAGAGGGCCCCAAGACGGGCCCAAGAGGGGGCCCAGAGGGGGACCACGAACCGCAAGCTCGAGCCTTCCGCCCCAAGAGGCCGCCAGGAGGCCCCCAGGAGGCCCCTCAAGAGGCCCCAGGAGACCCCAGACGTCCAAGGACGCCCCCAAGAGGCTCCAAGAAGCCTCCAACATGCGTCCCAAGAGGGCCCCTAGACGCAAGAATTGGCCCATTCCCTTCGTAAAACGTACATTTTTAACAAAGTCGCCTTTTGGGCTTTCCGACGTTACAGGACGGCCCAAGAGGCGCCCAAGACCGCCCCAAGACGGCCCAAGAAGCTTCCAAGAGGGCCCCAGGACAGCCCAAGAGGGCCCCAAGACGGCCCAAGAGGCGCCCAAGATGGCCCAAGAGGGCCCCAAGACGGGCCCAAGAGGGGGCCCAGAGGGGGACCACGAACCGCAAGCTCGAGCCTTCCGCCCCAAGAGGCCGCCAGGAGGCCCCCAGGAGGCCCCTCAAGAGGCCCCAGGAGACCCCAGACGTCCAAGGACGCCCCCAAGAGGCCCCAAGAAGCCTCCAACATGCGTCCCAAGAGGGCCCCTAGACGCAAAAATTGGCCCATTCCCTTCGTAAAACGTACATTTTCAACAAAGTTGTCTTTTGGGTTTTCCGACGTTACAGGACGGCCCAAGAGGCGCCCAAGACCGCCCCAAGACGGCCCAAGAAGCTTCCAAGAGGGCCCCAGGACAGCCCAAGAGGGCCCCAAGACGGCCCAAGAGGCGCCCAAGATGGCCCAAGAGGGCCCCAAGACGGGCCCAAGAGGGGGCCCAGAGGGGGACCACGAACCGCAAGCTCGAGCCTTCCGCCCCAAGAGGCCGCCAGGAGGCCCCCAGGAGGCCCCTCAAGAGGCCCCAGGAGACCCCAGACGTCCAAGGACGCCCCCAAGACGCTTCGCGTCACCAATTTCTTCTCGCAACGATTCCTGGGTCTGTGACTCGACAGAACCTAAGCGCGCGCGAAGCGCGCGCGTGGTTCTAGTATATATATATATATATATATATATATATATATATATATACACGTGTGTGTGTGTGTGTGTTGTGTGTGTGTGTGTGTGTGTGTGTGTGTGTGTGTGTGTGTATGTGTGTATGCATGTATGTCCGTATGTATGGATGTATATAAATACATACATGTATTTACAACTACCGGTTTTCGGCCCACTCCCGGCGGGAAGGTCCGCCTTGCCTCCCCGAGCGGGAGGATGGAGCTGTCTCGATCGCGGGACGCCGCCTCACAGGGCAGCCGCACTATCAGGCGACCGTTTTGTTATTCATTGTTTTGCCGATCGGCAAGCAGTCGCAGTAAACAAAAGTCTGGAACCAGACTCCTCCCCCTCCCCCTTATGCAAATGTACGTGGAATTGCGGGCGGTCCCCACAGGGTGCTCGCAGCTCGTAAAGAACTGCCTCTGGGCACCTCCCTCGACTGGGTCAATTGCAGGAGGTGCTATCCGGCGGGATAACAGGTCCTCCCCCCTTCCGCCCAACGTCGAGACGCCGAATCAGAAAACGTTCACCAGGACGTTTTTCTCCCGATTGTGGTGGTACCGATTCTTCCCCCCCAGGGGAGAATGATACCGAGGATGACGAAAAGGAGGCGGACTAAGTGGCTGGGGACTTCGATAGTCAGGAGGAAAAGCTGGCGACGCGAGAATGAGGATAACGAAAAGGAGGATGATGAGGAGGAGGAGGAAGCGGAGCAAGGGGATGAGGACTTCGAAAGTCAGGACGAGAAACTGGCAACGCGAGAGTGAGGAGGAGGAGGAGGAGGAGGAGGAGGAGGAGGAGGAGCAGGAGCAGGAGGAGGAGGAGGAGGAGGAAGAGGAGGAGGAGGAGGAGGAGGAGGAGGAGGAGGAAGAGAAGGAGGAGGAGGAGGAGGTGGAGGAGGAGGAGGAGGAAGGGGACCTCGAAAGTCAGGAGGAAAAGCTGGCACCGGAAAGGGATGGGTGCAGTTGGACGACGATTGACAGTAACTGCAGTCTCTGGGAAAGTCCTCAGCCTCCGCCGCCGTGGTCTTGGGATCTAGGTCGGTTCGCGTCGTGTCGCCGCGGCAGCGATCCCGCCGCAGGCGTTCGAGGTTGAACGCCGCCAGTGGCCAAGAATCGCTATCTATATCGAAGCATCGGGCGATGGAGAAGCCGCCGATCGTTCAAGGTTGAACGATCCAGGCGGTGACCAAAACCAACGCTTGGGTCGCACGACGCGAGCCTGCCGCACCCTTTGTCGAACTGTCTCTCGTTGTCCGCACTGCCCGTGCCACGGAGCTTGACCAGGGTCCCCCCGCCCCACTCCCACGGGCAGCAGGAGCAGCAGCAGCAGCAGCAGCAGCAGCAGCAGCAGCAGCAGCAGAAGCCGCAGCCGAAGCAGCAGCAGCAGCAGCAGCAGCAGCAGCAGCAGCAGCAGCAGCAGCAGCAGCAGTGCTGCTCCTGACGCGCACTTGTGGGGAGCCGGGGACGTCGATCTTCACCATCCCCCACACTCCCACTCCGCCCTGCCTCCTTGAAGTGCGGTCTGGGGGGGCATCCCGAATTCGCCGCCCGGTGCCGCGAGCACCCCCATATAACGAAGAGTGGATCACGCACTCACATTGCCAACTTCCCGCCCATCCTCACTGCCGCCAGCCAGCGTGTTTGCCCGATCGTGGAGCGCCCCCGTACCCATACGCACACTCAGCGTCTTCAAAGCAGTCACGGGGAGGGTGTTAGGAAGTCCTCCTGGTTCCCACCCTCTGCTCTACCGTTCATCCCTGCTTCTGCCTCCTCCTCCTTCTCCTCTTCCTTCCCGCCCTCGGTCCTCCCTCCCCAGTCCTCCCTCCCACAAGGGGGTGTCAGCAGATCTGCCTGGCCGCACAGGAGGCATGCAGTGAGCGTGCTACTACAGGCTAGGCTTCATAAGGGATGAAGGGGCTGTTTGTTGGCCACGGCGAGCCTCAGTCACGACTAGGCTCCTCGACTTGGATCTAGTCAGCGGCCTGAGAGCCGTGGCCCCTCCCGAGCCCAGGGTGGCCCTCAAACTGCAGCGCCTCGACGATGCTCGACCTCCGTCCGCCCGATCTCCCCCTGGCACAGGCCCCCCTCCTCTCCTCCTCGTCTTCCTCCTCCTCCTCCTTCTCCTCCTCCTCCTCCTCCTCCTCCTCCTCCTGCTCCTCCTCCTCCTCGGGGTGGAGCGGAGAGGGCTGCGGACAAGTAGCGTCAGTGAGTTTCAGGCCAGGCCAGCCTTGGAGATTGCCCCCCTCTGCACGGTGGGGGCGCTCAGGGAGGCATGTGCCCGGGAGGCTGGATCAGGGGCAACGTTGGGGGTGGGGGATGAGCATACAGAAGGGGGGGGCGCATCGACCCTCTTTTCGCCCACTGATCACCGACAGGGGCTCGACAGCCCCATCCCGCCCAGGAAGCTGCGGATGCGCCATCGGCGATCGGGGGGCCTGGCCTCCCGCCCCGCGGAGCGGAGCGACACGCTATCCACCCGCAAGGCGCGAGGCACAGCGTGCCGCTGGGGCCCCCGCCGCGACACGCGAAGCAGCCGTTCCCGACCGTATAGCTTGTGATCGTGTTCTCATTCATTGCTTTGCCGATCGGCGCGGGCCCTCGCCCCCCCCCCCCCCCCATGGAGTAGATCTTGGCTGTTTTTGGCGCCTGTTTGAAGCAGGTGGAGTCCCTACCCCACAGGACGCACGGTTGCAAACAGCCGCATTAAGCAGAGGTCCGGGGCCAACCCCCCCCCCCCTCCCCCCCCCCTTCCGCCCAATGTCGAAACGCCGAGTGAGAAAACGCTCACCTCCTCGACTCGAGGCACTGGGGAGGGGGGTCGATGATGCCGATGCTGCGGGGAGCTTTGGTGCAAAATTGCAGCTGCTGGCCCCCCGAGTCGGGCGCGCCGCCCCAGCCCCTCCCTCGGCCCAGGCGCCGGCGCCTGTGTCAACGCCGGCCCCGATCAAGGCGGCGCCCTTATCTTGCTTCACCTCGGGGGTTCGAGGATGGGGTCCTGAGGGATGCCCAGATCATTGGATACCCGATTTGTTCGGTCGCGATCTAGCAACCGATCGGCACTCCAAATCGGTCGCGACCGACTCCGAAGCCGATTGCGACCGGTCGCCACCGATTCTGAAGCGAATCGGTCGCGACCGATACCCGAATTTGAAGCAAAATCGGTAGCGACCGAACTCGTCGGTCGCGACCGGAAAAGTCCAGTATCCAAGTGTCAGGGTGAGTCGTGGACGGGAAACAATCCATATCCACTGCCACGCGGGCCATGCCCCAGGGCCGCGAAACCCTGGGTACGGGCATTTTTTCTTGTGGCGACTGCCCCGCGCGGATACGTATCCATGCGACCGCGTATCCACGGCATCGCGCCCCAGAATCCAGACTGCGAGGGCGTGGATGTGGATATCTCTGCCGCTCGCGAATGGGGCCCTGAGGAAAGGAAGGAGCTGGAGCTTGCATTTCTCAGGGCCTCCTCGCTCTGGGGGCGCAGGTCTCTGGGCCCCAGCTCTGACGTGCCGATCGCCGTGGAGAAGCCCAGACCACCGGGCGTCGTGAAGCACGTGCCGCGGAAAGGGTTTAGGGTGTTTTTTCGAGCTCCGGAGGCCCCTGCTGGGTCCTGGGGCCGGTTACGAACCGACGACGTAGGAGGAGAAAGCGGTCCTGGAGGAGGAGGAGGAGGATGAGGAGGAGGAGGAGGAGGAGGAGGAGGGAGGAGGAGGAGGAGGGAGGAGGAGCGAAGGAACGGGGGTTGAGCCCTCCAGGGCCCGCACCGAGAGACGAGCATCACGGCGTCGAGGGTCGATAGGCAGGGCCCGGGCCCCAGAGGGAGAGGGCCTCGAGGTTTTTGTTTGTTGTTTTTGCGTCTTGGCCTCTCAGGGTGCGCGTGCCCGGGCCCCTGCCGCGGCCGTCTCGCCTGGCCTGCCCTCTCCCCGCTCTTGCACGCTGGCCAGTTCCAGGGGAGATGGCATAAACATAAAGACTCGGAGGTCCGCGCGGTTTTCTTGCAGGGGCGGCGCCGGAGGCGCCGCCACGGGGGTCCAGCGCGGATCCGAGAACTCCGCGCGGAGCTCCAAGATTTTACATTTATGTCATGCTTCGCTTCCCTGGAACTCGCTTCTCGGTGCCCCCGTTTAGCTTTAGCGCTGGTGCAGCTAGCTTTACGTCGGGCATGTCCCTCTACACGAGGATTGCGAATACATAGTTCAAAAATTAGTCAGGGCACGATTGTTTGACTTTTTGTTTCCCCGTTCTTGTGATGGTTGACTTTTTTCTCCCCGCCAAATCCGCCTGCTGGGGGATATGCCCGACCTAAGGTCAGCTCTGCCTCGCCGCCGACGGACAAAAAGGATGCCCGGGCCCCCGGGGGCCTTGCAGACGCGTTTTTGTTGTTGCGTCTCCGCGGGAGGCGGGGTCTTTTGGTGGGGGGAGCCAGGAGTGTCCTCATGGTGACCTGTTGCCCCCATCGGGGACCCCGTTGCCGTCCTCGGGGCAATCCCTCTCGAGAGTTGGAGGGAGAGATCGACTGCAGAGCCGACTTACCCTTAGGTCGGGCATGCCCCTCTACAGGAAGAAAATCAAACAATAGTTAAACAAACATCGTATGGAGACGATTATTTGACCATTTTTGAGTTTTGCCCTGTTTTTTTCATGATTTCAAATTTTCTCACAATGTCCACTTGTAGGAGGACATGCCCGACCTAAGTCCAGCGGGACCTGTCTCCCTCGGGGGCCCCGTTTCCGTCCTCGCGGCAACCCCTCTCGAGAGTTGGAGGGGGAGATCGACTGCAGAGCCGACTTGCCCCTCATTTGAAAAGTGGGCTGAGTTTGCGAGCACACGCGTAGACCATTCTTAAACCTACGAACGCTGTACGTGTTGGGTTTGTAGATTCTGCGGGAAGAAGAAATTTTGGGGTACAACCAATCGGTTGCCGATCTCCTGCTCGAGCCCTTGCAAGAGCAGGAGGGTGTGAGGCGGAGGAGGCGCAGGAGCACGATGAGGATCCTGGCCCGATCCTGTGGTTTTGCCCCGCGGTGCTGTCCTCTTTACGGGGGTCCTTTTTGGGAGGGAGGGTCCACTCTGGGAGGGAGGCTCCGCAAGTGACCAAACATGGCTTCGCGAGACAAGTCGCGACGGGTGTTTGTTTTTCTTCTTGGGGTGGGGGCGGGCGGCGGGATTTCGGCCTCGCTGCGCGGATCCCAGGCCCCTCGGAGAGGACGGGGTCGGGAGCTCTGGGGGTCCACGTCGTCAAAACACGGGCAACCATGACCTCGGATGTCTAGGGAGGCGCGAGAGGACCAGGACCAGGTCAAACCCACGTGGCATCAACGATGCTGCACTACACCCTCCCGTCCCAAGTCCCCTCCCCCATGAGTCTCAGGAGGAGAAACAACACGCAGACAATGAATCGTCGATCCCCAGGATCATATGGGAGCATCTTGGAATTGGGGGGGGACGACGAATATCCAGAACATAGGAGGACAGGTATGGGGAATCCTTGGATTGTTGTGCCTAGTTTATTCTGTGTCGCATGGCCCGTTCAGAGCCCGTGATACGACTCCTCTCTCCGCTCTTGGGCAGCGCCCACGAGGAACGGCGATCGCCCCGTTGTTGGTATTGGTGTTGCTGTTGTTAGTGATGTTGTTGTTAGTGCGGTTGTTGTTGTAGTTGGTAGTGGTGTTGTTGTTGCTGATGTTGTTGTTGTTGTTGTTGTTGTTGTTGTTGTTGTTGTCGTCTGTGTGTGTGTTGTTGTTGATGTTGTTGTTGTTGGTGTTGTTGTTGTCGTCGCTGTTGTTGTTGTTGTTGCTGCTGTTGTTGCTGTTTGACTGCTGTTGCTGTTGCTGTTGTTATTGTTGCGGTTGTCGCTGTCCTCCCCATGAGTCTCAGGAGGGGGACAATACACGAGTAAGAACACGCTCACAACGCATTGTCGAATCCCATGAAAACCTCAGATGATCTTGGAAGTGGGGGGGGGGAGGACATCCAGAACATAGGAGGAAAGATATGGGGAATCCTGGAAGTTGTGTGTCGATTTCTCTGTGTTGTCCCAGGGCCCCGTCAGCGCCTCTGCAGCGACTCCTCTCTCCGCTGCGGGCAGCGCCCACGAAGAACGGCGAGCGCACCGTTGTTGGTGTTGATGTTGTTGTTGCTGCTGTTTTGGTTGCTGGTCTTGCTGTTGTTGCTGTTGCTGCTGCTGCTGGTGCCGTTTATGTTGTTTTAGTGTTGTTATTAGTCTTGCTGTTGATGTTGCTATTGTTGTTGCTGGTGTTTGTTGGTGTTGCTGCTGCTGTTGTTGTTGCGGTTGTTGGTGTCCCCCCATGGGTCTCAGAAGGGGAAACTACACACAACACACAATGTGATAGTTTTTTTATTCAGTTGTTGTGCCGATCGGCGCGGGCCCTCGCAACCCCCCTCCCCCACCGCCCCATGGAGTAGATCTTGTCCGTTTTCGGCGCCTGTGTCGAGCCCCATAGGACGCACTGCCGCAAACATTCGCATTAAGCAGAGGTCTGGAGCCAGACCCACCTTCCTCCCCCACCTCCTTCCGCCCAATGTCGAAACGCTGAGTAAGAACACGCTCACAATTCATCGTCGATCCCAAGGCAGACCTCAGAAATTCTTGGAAATGGGGGGGAAGAACATCCAGAACATAGGATGAAAGATGTGAGGAATCCTGGAATGTGTGTGTATTTCTCTGTGTTGTCCCAGGGCCCCTTCGGCGCCTCTGCAACGACTCCTATCTCCGCTGCGGGCAGCGCCCACGAGGAAAGTCGAGCGCCCCGTTGTTGGTATTGTTGTTGTTGTTGTTGTTGTTGTTGTTGTTGTTGTTGTTGTTGTTGTTGTTGTTGTTGAAGATTATTACTTCTAAAGATTAATTATTGTTGGGACCCCTGGTGCGCGACCCCCCCGCCACGCCTAGGCCGCAGCCTCATTTTCATCATTTTCGTGAGGAAGTCTCAGGCAAAACGGGTTGGTCCGGAAACTCAAGTGGACATTTCTTGTTCTAACATAACCAAACTTCAAGAATCCCTTGCAAAAAATAAGGTAAAGTGGACATTCGCGCGCGCAAGACGAAATCCTTCCAAAACCTTAGTTTTCGTAGCGATTTTAACATAAAAACATCAAAAAACCAATGGTTTTTCAAAAAAAAATGTCAAAATTTCATCCCGCGCGCTCTTGCGGATTCGTAGGAAACCCAACACTTTTTAAACATTTCTGTCAAACGGGCTTTTGCGAGCAACTTTTTCGAACTTCTGCAACAACGGTTGCGCACCTGCCAGGGCCATCATCCCTGTCAAATAATACCATGCGGGACACATTCGTTTTTTCTTCGCGCGCGCACGCCGTCGTCGTCGGCCGCGGGGCCCTGAATAGTAGCCACGGTCGTCCGCATGCCACGAAGTGAAGTGTCCGAACGTCATAGGGCGGGAAGCTGGGTGTGGGTGGTGGCGAAGAGTCGTTTGGAAATTTGGTAGAGCTTGAACCGGCCCCCCCACAAAGTGGGGGTATTGCCCGCCTCCTATGAAAACCCTGGCACTGGTGAGAACGGTGTGTCCCCACGTGCTAGTAATTGTTGTTGTTGTTGTTGTTGTTGTTGTTGTTGTTGTTGACGTTGTTGTTATTGCTGTTGTTGTTGCTGTTGTTGTTGGTGTTCTTGGTGTTGCTGCTGTGTGTTGTTGTTTGTGGTGTTGGTGTTGGTGTTGGTGTTGCTGCTGATGTTGCTGTTGCTGCTTATGTTGTTGTTGCTGTTGTTGTTGTTGTTGTGTATGGTGTTGCTGGTGCTGTTGTTGTTGCGGTTGTTGTTGTCCTCCCCATGAGTCACAGGACACAGACGCAATATGCTTGTTTCTTGTTCAAGTGTTTGCCGATTGGCGCGGGCCCTCGCACCCACCTCCCCCCCGCATGGAGCAGATCTTGTCTGTTTTGGGCGCATGGTTTGAGCAGGTCTCGGTTCCCCCATAGGACGCACTGCCGCAAACAGTCGGACTAAGCAGACGTCTGGAGCCAGACCCACCCCCTACCTCACCCCCTTCCGCCCAATGTCGAAACGCCGCGTAAGAAGACGCTCGCAATTCATCGCCGATACCGAGGAACATCGGAAAACATTGGAAGTGGGGTGGAAGACGACGAGTGTGTCCCAGGGCCCCTTCAGCGCCCCTGCAGCGACCCCTCCCTCCGCCGCGGGTAGCGCCCACGAGGCACGCCCAATTGAGTGCTCCGTGGGCCTGCCTGCCATTCAGAGGCTCCTCGTCTCTCGCCCCCCCCCCGCCCACCCCGGGCCACCTCTCTCTGCTTCGCTCCTCCCCGTCTTCCCCCTCCTCCCTGCTCCTCGCGCCCCCTCGCCCCTCCTCGCCCACCCCCACCCCCTCCTTCCTCCTCGCGCTTCCCCTCGCCCTGCCCCGTCCTTCCCCAACCCTCCCTCCTCGTCGCGCCTCCTCGCCCCTCCTCGTCCTCCTCCCCTCTCCTCCCCCCTCCTCCCCCCCTCCTCCCTCCTCGCCCCTCCTCGCTCCTCCCCGCCTCGTCTTTCCCCTCCTCCCTCCTCGTCGCACCTACCCCCTCCTCTTCGCTCTCTCCCATGTGCCGTACGCTCGCCACGCTTGCGTCCACGCAGAAGCCTCGCCCTCCCTCCCCCTTCCGCACCGATGACCCCCCCCATTCGGCGAGGCAGACGCGGGCGTCGGCGACCCGATGGCGCCCGAGCCTCCCGCCTCGCGTCGTCGGTCCGTCGTCGTCGGTGCCGACGTCGCTGGTGCCGCCGCCGTCGGCCGCCCTCGTCGGTGTGGCTGCCGCCTTCGTTGTCGTCGTCGTCGTCGTCGTTGTTGTGGTTGTTGTTTCGTCGGTTCGTCGTCGGCTTCGGCTCTTCGTCATTCGTCGCCGGCGTCGTCAATTCTAAGCGCTTCGCGTATCCCCAGCTGTCCGTATCCCCTCTGGCTTAAACTTTTGGCTCAAGCCGTCTGCGGGCAAACCCCGCTCTCGAGGGGGCGCCAGACGCACCGCCTGGGCCGCCGCGGCCCCCCCGTGCCCGCCCGTGCCTGGTCACGCGCGCGACAGCGGGCTGCTGCCAGGTTTCGGCGCGCCTCCTGTCCATCTCGCCGCCCTAGGGCCACCGGGATGGAAGAGAACTCAGACGGCGATCGAGACGAAATCCAAGGAATTGTCACCATGGAGGATTGTGACGGACTAGTGCAGGACCTGGGGGTTCAATCGGTATCCGATGAGCAACCAAACGATGGTCCCCAGGACGAAGTCGGCCAGCGGGTACAAGCATCGATCCACACATCGGGCAGGACCCAAGATCGGCGCGATGAGGGGCAACCGGTATCCGTTGGATCAGATCCCGTCGCTGGAGACGACGGCACACAGGGAAATTCTGCCTCTGGCAAACACCGGGGAAGCGGGGGCTGCGACCAGATCGGTGAGGGTACACCGATCGAGGATCAACTTGATCCCCTCAGACCGCGCCTTGCCGCTGGAGACGATGGCTTACCGAAAGAGATTGCCTCCGATCCCTCTCCTGTTCATCCCAAGGCTGCAACGGCTAGTCACTTCCATTCTCCTGAAAACGTGCCAACTGCGCTTGCCCCCCTATCTTCAAGTGAAGCAGCGGTTAGCTGCGCTCCCTGTCTCTCCCCCTCCGCCGCCTCGACGGATGTCATCTAGGAGCGACGGTTAACGCCCCGCCGATGAGGACTGTACACAGTTATGTCAGCAACCCTTTCAGCAACTCCACACCGACACTGCATGCGACCGCCCCGTGGAGGACCACGCGCCCCCCGATGCCTCTTCGACCCCTCCCCCCGAAGGACAGCCAGCCCACGAACGACCTACAAAGCAGACGCCCGACAACCAGCTTTCTCCTCGAACTCCCGTTGGCTGCCCCTTTCCTACTCCCCCCCTCGACTCTGACTCCCAATGACGTTCGGCACTTCACACAGGACGACAACAACACGCGACAGCCCGGTACACCTGACACCGACGCCCACGCTGACACCCAGCCATCACCTTCTTGCACCCCCATTGCAACCTTTGGCCCGAAAGCTGCCCTCCTCGGGATGCAGCAAGCCCTCAACTCTCCACCTCCCAGCCCCCGCTGAGCAGGAGGTCGCCACTGATGTGCCAGTTGATCTGGAGCACGATTCGGATTTGGAAATGGGAAACGATGGAGCACCAACCGCGCAGCCACCACTATCTACCCCCCAGGCACGTCGCCCTACCTCTGCCCCCCACGCAGACATAATGCTGATGGGAGCCTGCCTCCGACCCAGGAAGATGCCGCGATCGCTCCTCTCCCTCCCTTGCCCCCCCCCCCCTCTTCCACCGCGCCGACCCACTCCATCATCGCGCTAGATTTGCAGCAACCCGCGACTGCCAACGCAACCTTCCGCCAGTTTTCGGAGGCATCTGGAGGTTTCAATCGCCCCAATGTCAGAGCGGTACGGAGACATCTCGATCGTTGCTCTTTGATGTGCGTGACCTCCAGAGGCGCAAGAGCGTCCAAAGACGTACAAGAACATAGACCGACCACTGATCCCCCGAAGGTTGCCCACACATAGGGGCAGACAGACAGACAGACAGACAGACAGACAGACGGACGGACGGACGGACGGACGGACGGACGGACGGACAGACAGACAGACAGACAGACAGACAGACAAACAGACGCCGTGCACGTCATGGTGCGTTGGAAGAAACTGGGTGAAACGGAAATATGTGATGCAGCAGCGAGCACGAGTGGAGGAGGAGGAGGAGGAGGAGGAGGAGGACGAGGACGAGGAAAAGGAGGAGCAGGAGGAGCAGGAGGAGGAGGAGGAGGAGGAGGAGGAGGAGGAGGGGATGGAGGAGGAGGAACAGGAGAAGAAGGGGGAGCAAGGGGACTAAACAGCTATAGTGGCTGATTGAAGAAGCGCTCCGCGCGGATGTGCCATGCCAGCTGGCCTTCGTACCGTACCTGCGCAGGGCGACTTTGCCGCCGGCTACCTCGCACGCCAGGCTGAAAACGCAACGCGCCCAAGCACATCATTTTGCCCGCCGCGGTGGTCCCAAAACACCTGCTCAAACAGTTCGAGCGATCCCCTCCCCCGCACGCGGGGCGGGACCCCCAGGGAGCACCGGGCCCATCGGGGCCCGGCGGCCGCGGCATGCAGCCGCCACTCGTCGGCGGCGCGGGGCAGGACACCCAGGCAGCACCGCAGCCCTCCTTGGGCCTGGCGGCCGCGGCATGCAGGGCGTGCCTGGGGGGGGGGGGGGGGGGGGGGCCCGCTCCTCGGCATCCTCTCTCGAGGAGGACCTGTGCCCCGCCGCGCGCCGCCCTCGCGGAGGCGCCCTTCTCCGCCCCCGTCCCCGGTGGCTTCGAGCTGGAGGCGAGCAAGGAGGTGCCCCCGCCGGCGCGCGAGCGCGGCGGGCGGAAGGGCCTGCTTCGGGCGGGGCCAGGACGAGGAGCAGTCCGTTCCATGGCGTTCCGGAGCGCTCTCAGAGCGCTCCGGTCCGGAACGTTCTGAGAAGGCCGCGGCGCCCGAGGAGTCCTCCAGAGCCGCCGGATCTCAGAGATTCTCGATTCGATTCTGATCTTCACGCGGATGTGTCCTCGGCCTGGCATTCGTCTTACTCAGCAGGAGCTGACAGCCAGCGCCCATGTCTGTGCGCCCCCAGATTTCTCGGTGTGGGATTGCCTGGGGGTGGCCAACTATGGGTGCGTGGTGTCGGATAATGGTCCCCGCTCGACCGGGAGCCCCCCTCGTGGTCCGACAGCTCGCACCCATGCCTGCAGCGCCTTCCTCGCCTCGCCCTTCCCCATTCCTCTCCCCTGCAGGTTTGAGCGTGCGTTGCTCTTTCGCCGCCTATGGGGATTCGAGGAGTGCGTGGTGGCGGCCACTTCGTGTGGGGGGGAGCGAGGAGTCCCGGGCAGAGCGTCACGCTCCATACCACCACGGCGCCGAAGGCGGCGGCGGAGACGGGGCGCGCTGACGCTCCGCACCGAAGCACCCCGTTGGGATTAAGTCGGGCATGTGTCTCTCCAGGAGGAGTTTTCAAACATATTTTAAACATCGTCAGAGGATGATTTGTTTGATTATTGTGGAGTTTGTCTGATGATGTTTGATTTTCTCCCAACATCCGCCTGTAGGGGGACATGCCCGATCTAACGTTGGGAGCGGGCCTGCGATCGGGAACTATTGGATCGCGTGTCGCTCCGCCGGTTCTGGCCCACCACGCTTCGGCGCGACACGCCAGTCATTGCCCGGTGTCCAAGCGACAGAATCCCGAGCCTTTCCCAGACTCCTCCCCACAGAGCGGGGCGCGTAGCGACACACGATCCACTCGCGAGGCATGGCGTGTCACTGGGGTTGCAGCGGCGGCGCGCTAAGCAACAGTTCCCGACCGCACCCTGCGAGGCTTGGTACACAGCTCATCGTTGAGCGTCGTAAAAACACATGCGGCGCGCAAGGTTCTGCTGCACTCCCGGCTTGCGAGGGGGGCCTGAAGGGCCCCGGGGGCGTCGCGGAACGACCCGGGACGACGAGCAGGTCCCGGGGAAGGGGTTGGGACCTCTGGGGGCCCACGCTGAATTAGGGAGGGCTGGCCCAGGTCGGGGGGGAGCCAGCGTCTCCCAATCGCCCACTCGTCGCCCACCGCCCACCAAACCACCCCAACCCAACCCAACCCGAAGGCCCTGATTTGCCCTCCACTTCCAGTGGGGAGGGGGGGTTGGGGAACATTAAAAAAAACACGTGTGGAACCCGTACAGTGGAGGCCAATGCCAAGAGACACCCTGCTTGCCTTCAGGGTGCCCTGGGTTTCTTGTGTTTCGATGGTTTTGCCATGGAAGGCGTGACGCTCCCATATAAAAATCGATGGACGTCCTGGGGTCTCAGGGTGGGGTTTCTCGTGGAAGGTTTCTTGTGCTGGCGTCCACCGTACCCCCCCCCCTCCGCAGAACCCGAAATTCGGGCCTTCGGGTTAGGTCGGGGTGCTCCGGTGGGCAGGCAATCGCTGGCGCATGGGTGCCTGACCCTGCCCAGGAGCGCTCGGCGTTTTGCTGCCGGGGGCCTGTCGCTGCACTATCGTCAAGTCGGACGTGTCCCTCTACAGGAAGAAAATTCAAGAATAGTCAAAGAACAAATGGTGGGGGCGATTCGTTTAGTATTTGTGGTTGCTTCTGAATAGTGTTGGGGGCATTGTGAATTGTTCCTTCAAAATCCGCCTGTAGGAGCACACGCCCGACCTACCGCCGATTCCAGGTCATTGCTTTCCCGCCTGCGCCACTACCTCCCTTCTCTCCCCCCTCAGAGGAAGGCCTCCAGAGCAAGAGCAGTAAGAAGATGGCCCCTTCCCTCCACGCGTATCAAACAGATAGCGACGGACAGGTTTTCCTGAGAGTAGGGCCCCAGTACACGGCCTGAGAGCAGGGCCTTGGGACTGCCAGAAAACAACCCAGCAGAAGAATCCAGGCCTGGGGGCCTTAGTTAGAACAACAAGCACGACGTCGGAAGTGGCTGGGGAGGGGGAGGCGGAGGAGGTGGAGCCTTCTTCAGCGCCCCCCTCCCTCCGGGCCTCTGTGCTTCGTCGATCGTACGTTGCTCATTTTCCTCAATTCTCTTCTGTGCCAGATTTTCCTGTCTAGGGTGCTCGGAGGTCTGCCTTTCTCGCTCTACGATGCGCCCGTCGCCGAAGCATCGCCGAAGCATCGCCGAAGCATCGCCACTGCATCGGCGCCGTATCGGCTAATTACGTGGCGCGGTGTGCCTGCCCCATCTGCTCGGACCCGACTCGGGAGGCCTCTAGCAGGGGTGGGAGCAGGCCAAAACTAAAGAGGCCGCCAGAGCATGGTATGACACGGCATGCCATGGTACGGGCTGGTACCAGCGTTACGTCTAACGGCTGGTTTCGTCTCAGGGGGTGGGACGATGGGGGTTTGACGTGGCGAAGTCATGTAGGACGCACGCCTCCGTCCGTGGCTTGAGGCCCTCCAGTGGGTGCCCGTGGAAGGCCCATGGAACCAATAGAGGGGCAGTAGCCCTCGGCTCCCCCCCCCCCGACAGGCTCACCAAACCCTGTCCTCCCAGTGTACAGACCGATCCTGGCCAGCCCCACCCTGGGCCCAGGGTGGGCCTGGCCAGCGCCGATGCAGGCGCACACGGGTGTGGTCGTCCTCCTCCTCCACCTCCGCCTCCTCCTCCTCCGCCTCCTCCGCCTCCGCCTCCTCCTCCTCCTCTGCCTCCGCCAGTGCGAGGGGGCCCCGTCCGCTGCCATCCTGGCTCGCGCAGTGGCCCGCAGCCCTGGCCTGCGCCACCGCGGCCACGCGGCCTGTGTATGGCCTCCGAGCCCGGCGCGCTCGGCCCCGCAGCTGGCCGCGCGGATCGCCGCCCCTCGCGCGAGGCCACCGTCTCCGAGCGCGCGCACGGCGAGCGCGAGTACTGGGCCCACAGGTGCCTCAGCGAGGTGATGAGCGGCGATGCCTCGCTGCACCAGAGGGTGGATCTTCGGCAGTAAGTCATGGGAGCCCTGCATGCCCGCGTACTTCTGCCTCTGGAGCGCACCAGCAGATGAGCGTTTGGTCATCGATGAGATAGCGCCGATTCAGTGTCGATTTAGCGTCAACCGGCGTCGACGATCGCCGATTCGCAAGAGCTTACAAGATGGTACAGAAGGCTCTCCCATGAGTTGCCGCAGCAGGTGGAGCAGCTCCGGGACGAGCTGGAGGCCCAGCTGCGCCGGGCTTCTTCGAGGATGGACGCCGCGGAGGCTCAGCATCGTCTGGGGATCTACCACTCGAAACTTAAGGGAGACAGCTTATATCCCTTATATCTACGGGGGTAAGTCTGGGGCTGGACGAAGGGGTAGGATAGGGAAACGGGAGGGTGCGAAGTCTGCTGTATGTAGCTGGTTTCCGCCCCGCCGCCGGGCCCATTCCTCGATACATGGGCGCCTCCTGGCGCTAGGAGGCACCAGGAAAAACAGCTACGTGAGCTGATTCTCTACCCTACGTACCCTTTGCTATCCTACTCTTGCGCCCCCCCCCGATCATCGGCCAGTGGGGCCCAGGGGGCCCAAGCGTTTTGGGACGCTCTCGGAGCGTTCTGGAACGCTCTGAGAAGCCCGCGGCGCCCGAGATATCCTACATAGCCGCTGGATCTCATAGATTCTGATCCTCGTCCCGGCTTTGTCTCACAACCAGGTGTTGCTATGCCCCTGGCCCCAGGTGCCCCCAGGATGTCCAGGCCCCCCACGGCCTCCAGGGAACCCCTCACGAGGCCCACACAGGGCCCGAGGGCCGAGGGGCGCCAGAATGGAGCGAAAAGCTGGGGGCACCCTGTGCCAGGGGCACTTCTAGCAGCCCCCCGGTACACGCCCATGGGGATAGGGTTAAGGCGGGCGTGTGTTCATCATAGTCAAAATCCATGTTTGCCTGTTTTTGACAACGACTTTGCTTTCGTCCACAATCCGCCTGTAGGAGGACGTGCCCGACCTAAGGATAGGGGTCCGTCCGACGCTGCCCAGCAGGCCCAGGCGGAGGAGCTGCGTGCCGAGGTGGCGGCGCTGGCCCGGGGCGGCGGCTCCGCCCCTCGCGGGGGCGCGCCGGCGCCCGAGGCGGCCCCGGGGGTGGCGCTGCAGCTGCTGAGGGACGAGCTCGGCGGGGTGCAGGCCCCTCCTCGAAGCCCTCCACCGCCTCCTCCTCCTCCTCCACCTCCTCCTCCTCCTCCTTTTCCTCCTCCTCCTCCTCCTCCTCTCCTCCCTCCTCCCTCCCCTCCCTCCTCCCTCCTCCTCCTCCTCCTCCTCCTCCTCCTCCTCCTCCTCCTCCTCCTCCCCTCCTCCTCCTCCTCCTCCCCTCCCCCTCCTCCCCCTCCTCCTCCTCCTCCTCCTTCTCCTTCTCCTCCTCCTTCTCCTCCTCCTCCTCCTCCTTCTCCTCTTCCTCCTCCTCCCTCCTCCTCCTCCTCTTCCTCCTCCTCCTCCTCCTCTTAGCCATTGTGCCAGTCTCAAACCGGTAGTCGCTGGGCCGCGCGGCCCACCGCGGTTCCTGGAGCAAACGGGGCCTGGGCAGCGGGAGCTGCAGAATGCGCCGGCTGCCGCGCGAGGCGCGGCGCTGGCGTCCCACGCGGCCTCGGGCCTCGCGCGGAGCGCAGCGGCGGCGTGCCGCTTGCTGCGCACTTCCGAGGGCCTGTGCCGCGCTGCTGTGGCGCCTGCTGCTCCCGCGTCGCCTGCGGTGCCTGGCGGTGCCTGGACGCACGACATGCAGGACAGGACATGCTGGTGGAGCGCTGGACGCTGACGTGCTAGTGGAGCGCAGGACATGCACGTAGACGACCTCACCACCGTGGCGGTGGATGAAGCCGGCGGCGGCGCGGAGCTCTGGGACGACAGCTGGGCCGACCGCGCGGTGCGGCCCGCGCCTTCGCTTGCACCGTCGTGTGTGCGGGGGGCGGAGGTGGCGGTGGCGCATGCGCCTGCGCCTGCTGACGCCGCGCCTGCCCGTGGTGCTGATGGAGCGGTACTCGCTGCTGCTCCTCCCACTGGTCGTCTTCCTGTGGGTGGCTTGAGGGGGTGGCCCCTCGAGCCTGCGGCGACGCCTGGCGCGGCGGCGATGCCCGTGGCCGAGGCGCCTGGCGAGGAGGCTGGTTCCGACGCCGTCGTGGCGAAAAGGGAGCGGTTGCTGGCAGAGGCGCGCGCCAGGATCGCGGCGAAGGAGAGCGTGGGCTCCTGACCCTCGTCGTGGACGCGGTGTTCGTGTCCGTGGAGGCGGTCGGGGGCCTGGGATGGGGTAAGCCTCCCGCGGTGGCGGTGGAGCGGCCCCAGGCCCCCGTGCAATTTTTTATCCAGCCGTTCAGTCCCGTTCCTCCTCCTCCTCCTCCTCCTCCTCTTCCTCCTCCTCCTCCTCCTCCTCCTCCTCCTCCTCCTCCTCCTCCCTTCCTCCGCTTCCTCCTCCTCCTCCTCCTCCTCCTCCTCCTCCTCCTATTTCTCTCCTCCTCCTCCTCCTCCTCCTCCTCCTCCTTCCTCCTCTTCCCTCCTCCTCCTCCTCCTCCTCCTCCTCCTATTTCTCCTCCCCCTCCTCCTCCTCCTCCTCCTCCTCCTACTCCCTCCTCCTCCGCCTCCTCCTCCTCCTCCTCCTCCTCCTCCTCCTCCTCCTCCTCCTCCTCCGTCTCCTCCTCCTCATCCTTTTCCTCCTCATCCTTCTCCTCCTCCTTCTCCTCTTCCTCTTCCTCCTCCTCCTCCTCCTCCTCCGCACTGCAGCGTCGTAGCCTCGCCCGTGGCCCGCAAAGGCGGCCAGAACGGCCGTTGGAGCCCTGGTTCCCGTTGCGGTCTCTGGGTCGGGGGGTGCGACCCGCAGGCCAGAGGGGGCTCGAGCCATCATAGACCCCGCGCAGGCCGCCCAGGTCCGGATGCTGCGGGAGGTGGCGGCGGTGGTCGAAGGCGCGGAGCAGCGCTGGGGCCCGGTGCGGCAGGAGCTGTCGGAGCTCTCCGCGCGCCACGGCGCCACCAGCGTGGAGCTGGCGGCACGCCTGCAGGACGTCGAGCACCGCCTCTCGCGGCTCGAGGGCGGCGGCGCGGCCAGTGCCGACGGGCCGCAGGGCGGCGACCGCCTAGAGGCGCTGGTCGCACAGCTGCGCGCGCGCGTGCAGGCCCTGGAGGACGCCCCGCCCGCCGCCGCCAGCCTGCTGGCCGAGGGCAGCCTGGGCGGCCAGCTGGGGAGGCAGCTGTACGCTGCGCTGCCCAGCGCGAGGGACGCCAGCTCGGCAGAGGGCCTCGGCATCGAGCTCGCCCGCTGCATCGGCGCGCTCGACACGGAGCTCCGGGTGGACATGGTGGGGCGCATCGACAGGCTCTTCCGCCACATGCGGGCGGAGGCTCGCTGGAGGGGGCACAAGACGCCGCTGCCTTCTGGCGCGTCTCTCTCTCTCTCTCTCTCTCCCTTCTCAGGCCTGAGGAAGGGGGACCATTCCTGTCTGAGGCGAGCACGCGGCTGGCTGTTTTGACCCCCTGGCCATTGCGCGCGGTTCGCTCTTCCCCCCCGCTGCCCCCCCCGGAATGCCACAACCCATCCGATCGGGCGGGTGGTAATGCGGGGCGACCTCAATGGGAGGTGAGGAACAGGGCCCTAGAGGGTCACTGTAGGGCTCCTTTTGTGGCCAGCTGGTGCCCAAAAGGGGCCTTCAAGGGCCTCTTGATGCCCCTTTTCCTCACCCCTCATTTAGGTCGCCCCCAATTACCACTAAGTCGGGCATGTCCCTCTACAGGAGGAATGTCCAAATATAGTCAGAAAATAGTTAGGGGATGAGTTGTTCCCAACCGTCCTGTGGTGTTGGGCCCTCGTTTTGAAGAGACGGTCCCCGCGTTCTCCTTCTCCTTCCTCCCTCCTCCTCCCCCTCCTCCCTCCTCCCCCTCCTCCTTCTCACCCACCCAGTACAGCGCTTCGTGGCCCCATATGGAGCTCCACCGAAGGCCCCAGTGGCAGGGTTCGCATGGCGGCCTCGGGCCATTAGGGCACACCCCTCACAAGGACCGTGGCCCCATAGGTAGCTTTATCCCAGGCCCCAGTGGCAGGGTTCGCATGGCGGCCTCGGGCCATCTCGGCACGCCCCTCACCGGGATCGTGGCCCCATAGGGAGCTTTATCCCAGGCCCCAGTGGCAGGGTTCGCATAGCGGTTCTGGGCGATTTTGGCACACCCCTGACGAGGATCGTGGCCCAATAGGGAGCTCCACCGAAGGCCCCAGTGGCAGGGTTCACATGGCCCGCAATTTTGGCACCCTTCACGAGGATCGTGGCCCCATAGGGAGCTGTATCGAAGGCCTCAGTGGCAGGGTTCGCATGGCGGCCTCGGGCCATTTGGGCACACCCCTCACAAGGATCGTGGCCCCATAGGGAGCTTAATCGAAGGCCCCAGTGGCAGGGTTCGCATGGCGGCCTCGGGCGATCTCAGTGGCCTCGGTGGCAGCGCCCGCATGCGTCCTCCGATCATTTCGGCACGCCCCACGCACGTTTCGGTGCTCCCATCCGCGTTGCCCCGTGCGTGCTCCATCCCCTCTCGGTGCGCTACTTATGATGAGAGGGGCATTTCCTGCGATACTCGCAGCCTCATGTGGTTGGGTCCTTCGCCCATTTAATCATATTTTTGTTTGACGATTGGTGTTATTTGCTTGATTTTGCTCTTCGTCCAAAGTCCGCCTGCAGGAGGACATGCCCCCGACCTAACATTACCACCCGCCCGATCTGCGTGTGAGAACAGGCCCGGAGACGCCACCCTCTCCAGAGAGCGAGCAGCTCCGCGTGCCCCCCCGCAGAGGGGGGGGGGGGGAGGCACCCGTGCGCCTCGCGGGACGCCAGCGGGGCGCTGCCGCCCGTGAGCGACCGAGTGGCGCCCTGCAAGGAGCTCCCGGGCAGCGGCCTGGGGGGCACTCCTCCCGAGCGCCCTGCGACTCCAGGGCCCCGAAGGCCCCCAAGGCTCCCAAGGCTCACGTCGGGCGTGTTCCTCTACAGGGGAAACGTTCAAACATATATACGTTTTGCTATTTTGATGTATTTTTCAAAATCCGCCTGTAGGAGGACATGCTCGACCCAACCCAAGGTTCCCGAGGCTCCCCGGGGCACCCGAAGGTCCCCCCGGGGCGCCCCCTAGTGCGGCCAGGCCTCCCGGAGCGCCCGAGGCTCCCAGGGGCCCCAGGCCCCCAGGCCCCCCAGGAGCCCCTCGAGGTGATCGTTTCCTGATTCACTCTTTCGCCGATCGGCGCGGGCCCTCGCATCCCCTCCCCCTCACCCTCGTGGAGCTGATCTTGGCCGTGTTTAGGGCGCCTGCTTCGAGCAGGTGGGGTCTCCCCCAATAGGATGCACTGCTGCAAACAGTCGCATTAAGCTGAGGTCCAGAGCCAGACCCTGAGGAGGAGGAGGAGGAGAAGGGATGAGGATGATGATGATGATGATGATGAGGAGGAGGAGGAGGAGGAGGAGGAGGAGGAGGAGGAGGAGGAGGGAGGAGGAGGAGGAGGAGGAGGAGGACCTCCTCCCTCCCTTTTCGCCCAATGTCGAAACGCCGAGTCAGAAAACGTTCACCAGGCTCCCCGGGGCACCCAAGGCCCCCAGGGCCTCCCCCAGTGCTGCCGGGCCGGGATCGCCTGGCGCTCCCAAGGTTAGGTCGGGCATGTCTTCCCACAGGCGGATTTTGGAGGAAAAATACACACTTTGAACATAGCCAAAACAAGCCCCAAAATGATAGAAACATAGTTTCCATATTATTTTTTGACTATTTTTGAACATTCCTCCTGTAGAGGGACACGCCCGACTTAATCCCAAGCTCGCAAGGCTGAGCGCGAGCGCTGCAGAGCGCCTTGGAGAGTCGAATCGTTTCCCCACTCCCCCGCGGCGAAGCAACTTGTTTTGAGCGCTTTCGAGGGGACTCTTTACAGCGCGTGCTGACGCCACCACCGCCCTCCGCCATAGGCTGGCACTGATTACCTCAATAGTCTTGGGCCCAGAGAGTGCAAGGTCTCCCTGGACTGCCAGGGCCGCCCCCCGTACTTAGTACAAGGGCTCCTCCCCCGGACTACGGCGCCCCCACCCTTCGGACTACAAGGGGCCCTCCCACGGACAACGAGGGCCCCTCCGCGTAGATCGAAGCATCCCCCCCAGGAGGGCCTCCCCCCACGACTACAAGGCCCCCCCCCCCAGGACTGCAGGGAGCCCCCCTGGGAACTGCAGGGGGCCGCCCTCCGAACTTCAGGACCCTCGGACTTCTGGTCATTCCAAGGCTACCGAGGTACTCTGGGTACTCTTGCGCTGCGCCGAGAGTCAGCCACGCGCAGACGGGGGTTGGGCGAGGGCCAGGGGGGAAGGCTTCTTAGAAGCACCCCTGCTTCTTGGAAGGCGCGGGCCTCATCTACAGATGTAAGACTGGCGCCGTCTAAGAAGCAGCCTTCTTATGAGACGACTTCCCCCCTCCCCCTGCCCCCTGTGCGCGCGCAATGCCATTCTGAGACGAGAGTGGAAGCTGTGCTGGGGGGTGCTCGGGCACGGTTGCATCATGGTTTCTTCATGTCGTGCGCGTCGGTTTTCGCAATAAGGCCGATTGAGGCAATTATAATTCGACGCTTTTGTGTGAATTTTGAACGCCCAATGCATCACAGGCTTTTCAGTTTACTGGTCCAGCGCTCTGCTGATGACGGGACGTTGGCACACATAGTACATCTGAAACAATGTTAGCCAGCGTGAACCCCTACCAGTGTGGTTCTAGCAGTGTGTGTGTGTGTGGTGTGCAATATATATATATATATATATATATGAGTAGGCCGGGGGGGGGGGGGGGGGGGGGGGGCAAAATCGGTGCCGTCATCCCCCATGGCCGCCCCCCCGAACCTTTGGGGGGTCAGAGACCCCCCGGGACTGCCCCGGGCCGCTTCCAAATTGCCCACGACAGGCCACGCGGGCCGTACAGATGGTCAAGAAAGCTTGAAGAGGCTCGAAGACGCCCAGGAGCGCCCCAAGAGGGCCCGTGAGGGCCCCAAGAGGGCCTTCAAGAGGCAACAATCGGCCCATTTCCTTTGTAAAACGTACATTTTCGGCATACTCGCCTTCACAGTGCCCCAGACGCCCCCGCGGAGCCCCAAGACAGCCCAAGAGAGACCCAAGAGGGCCCCAGACGGCCCGAAAGGGTCGTCCTGTGGGCTGACGGAACCCCCCAAGACGGCCCAAGAGGCCCCGAAGCCGGCCCAGGAGGCCCCCAAGACGGCCTCAGGGAGGCCCAAGAGGGCCCCGTTCGAAGTCATGTTCCCGGAAGCCTCTCCGGGAACATGATTTCCGGGTTCCGAGGACGCCCAAGAGGCCCACAAGACAGCCTCAGCGAGGCCCCAGGGGGCCCGAGATGGCTTGAAGATGGCCGAAGAGGGCGCCGAGAGAGAGGGCCTTCAAGAGGCAAACATCGCCCCATTCCCATCGTAAAACGTACCTCGTCCAAGGCGCCTCGGAAGGCGCCTCGGAAAGCGCAGAATACTCTTCCAAGGCGCGGAATCATGTTCCCGGACCGCCTTCCGGGAACATGATGGGGAGGACCTTCTGAGGGCCTCCAGTGGGCCTCTTGGGGGCCTCTCGGAGGCCTGTTGGGCTCTCCTGGAGGCGTCTTGGGGCGCGCTCAGGGCCATTGTTGAGCATCCTTGGGGCCTCTATATATGGGGAAGAATTTGAAATACGTGGAAGGAAGTGGCACGACTCGGGAGGGCTTGGGGGAGGGGTATGTATATATATACATATATACATATATATATACATATACATATATACATATATATACATACATACATATATATGCATATATATATATGTATGTGTGTGTGCGTATGTATGTGTATATATATATATATATATGTATGTGTGTATATATAGATATGAATGTATATAGACCCATACGTAAGACATGTAGGATTGTGTACACAGGAGAAGGACAATCTATAGAAACGTACTACGTTGTCCAAGGCGCCTCGGAAGGCGCCTCGGAAAGCGCAGAATACTCCTCCAAGGCGCGGAATCATGTTCCCGGACCGCCTTCCGGGAACATGATGGGGACGACCTTCTGAGGGCCTCCAGTGGGCCTCTTGGGGGCCTCTCGGAGGCCTGTGGGGCTCTCCTGGAGGCGTCTTGGGGCGCGCTGAGGGCCATTTTTGGGCCTCTTGGGGGCTTCTGGGGGCCTTCGGGGAGGCTCTTGGGGGCCTCTTTGGGGCCTCTTGGGGCCTCGCGGGGCCCTCTTGGGGACCGCTGGGCTCGCTTAGGCAGTCTTGAAGCCCTGTCGGGGCACTCCTGGAACCGTCTTGGGCGGCTCCTGGGCCATCTTGGGGCTCTCCTGGGCCGTCTTGGGACGATTTTGGGGGTCTCTTGGGCCGTCTTGGGGCGGTCTTGGGGGCCTCTTCGGCCGTCTTGAAGCGGTTTTGGGAGACTCTTGGGCGGCCTTGGAGCGTCGGAACCCCGAAAAAGCGAGAAGGCCAAAAACCTCGAAAAAAACGATACAAATCAACGATTTTGGCTTGTCGGGGCTCTCTTGGGAGGCCTCTTGGGATGCCTTCGGGGCCTCATGGAGCTCTCTTGGAACGTCTTCGGGCCTTCCTGGCCATTCCTGAGGCTATCTATGCGCGTCTTGGAGCGCTCGCGGGCCGTCTTGGGCGGTCTCGAACTGTTCCTGGCGGTCCCAGGGGCCCTCCGGGACGCTTCGGACGCTCCCGGGGGCGCCCTGCACCCCCCATGGAGATGACAGGCACCGCCCCGGGGCCCTACTCCGATATATCTATATATATATATATATACATATATATAAATATATATATATATATATATATATATATATATCATTAGATGTGTACAATGTATATATATATATATATGATTATGTATTGTATATCTGTGTATGTATGCACGGCGGGAGTTCGTACTGTAAGTTCTTTATCCGTAAGGGCTTCGCCCCCTGCCGCCGGCCCCCTCTCTCGGAGAATGGGCCATGGAAGAGCTAAGTCATGAGGCCGTGGCGCTGTCGTGAAGCAGTATCGAAACTTCATGCGAAGCCGATTCGCAATCAGCAAAACCAACTGATCACAAGAGGGGTTACCACACCTGGCGATTGGTAAGACGTGTATGGTTTACGGGCTTGGTTACCACACCTTGCGATTAAAGGGCCGAGGGAGTTCTCGCAGTTTGGGTTACCACGCCTTGCGATGGATGTGCGTGAAGGGTGGCACCGAATTTCAGAAATGTGGCAAATCCCCTGTGTTTTTGGACCCTGACCCCGCGGATCTGCGTGAGGGGTGGCACCGAATTTCAGAAATGTGGCAAATCCCATGTGTTTTTGGACCCTGACCCCGCGGATCTGCGTGAGGGGTGGCACCGAATTTCAGAAATGTGGCAAATCCCATGTGTTTTTGGACCCTGACCCCGCGGATCTGCGTGAGGGGTGGCACCGAATTTCAGAAATGTGGCAAATCCCATGTGTTTTTGGACCCTGACCCCGCGGATCTGCGTGAGGGGTGGCACCGAATTTCAGAAATGTGGCAAATCCCATGTGTTTTTGGACCCTGACCCCGCGGATCTGCGTGAGGGGTGTCGATTTCGAGCCCCCCCAGCAATTCAGACAACGCGCCCAGGAGACGCTAAAAATCCCGTTTGGGCCTCCCCCCCCTCGCGCGGTCAATCAATTAGTTACAGTAACCAGCAAGAAGCAGAACTGTAACACTGGAAACTACAAGCTACAACTGGCACAGGAAACTGCGAACCTCGCGCCTACAGCCTGGTGGCCCCACAAGGGGGCCGGCGGATCTGAGCACTACCACGACTAGCACGACGTAGACAATCATGAGCATCCCTCGCATTGCCGTTGGTGAGCCAACAGAGCGAGAGTCACGGTGCCCCCCCCCGCGGCGAAACGAATACGCAACGCTACGAACCATTGATTATTCGTTGGGTGCCTCGAGATGTTTTTTGAGCTGATACCTTCTTGGGCGCTTTGGATGTACATTGGGTTTTCCTTGTTCCTGCTCCTGCGTCTCCTTGTCCCCCTCCGCCTTCTCGTCCTCCTTTACAAGCGCAGCAAGCGCAAGCACACCGACGACGATCACCCTCATACCAACTGCGTGCTTTCTCGTACGGGTTCCACCCGCTGAGTCGCTGTAAATGTCGGGGTGCTTCCCCAGAGAGGTCGACGCCGATGTGGCCGCTCGGGCCACGTCCACCGAGGCGGCGGTGAGGTCCGTCGAGGCGCGGCTGGAGGCAAAGCTGACACACGTGGCCGAGGAGCTCGGCGCGCGCGCGGCGCGGGCGGATGCGCAGCTGGGCTCCCTGCAGGGCTCCGTCCGTGCCGAGGCCACCGGCCAGGAGGCGAAACGTCTCCTCCCCTTCTGCCTCCTCTTCGGGATTGTTTCATGAAGGTCTGCCTGCTTCCTCCTCTTCTTCTTGTCTTCTTCTTCTTCTTATCCGTAAGGGCTTCGCCCCCTGCCGCCGGCCCCCTCTCTCGGAGAATGGGCCATGGAAGAGCTAAGTCATGAGGCTTTGGCGCTGTCGTGCAGCAGTATCGGAACTTCATGCGAGGCCGATTCGCAATCGCAAAACCAACGATCACAAGAGGGGTTACCACACAGGGCGATTGGTAAGACGTGTATGGTTTACGGGCTTGGTTACCACACCTTGGATTAAAGGGCCGAGGGAGTTCTCGCAGTTTGGGTTACCACGCCTTGCGATGGATGTGCGTGAAGGGTGGCACCGAATTTCAGAAATGTGGCAAATCCCCTGTGTTTTTGGACCCTGACCCCGCGGATCTGCGTAAGGGGTGGCACCGAATTTCAGAAATGTGGCAAATCCCTTGTGTTTTTGGACCCTGACCCCGCGGATCTGCGTGAGGGGTGGCACCGAATTTCAGAAATGTGGCAAATCCCATGTGTTTTTGGACCCTGACCCCGCGGATCTGCGTGAGGGGTGGCACCGAATTTCAGAAATGTGGCAAATCCCATGTGTTTTTGAACCCTGACCCCGCGGATCTGCGTGAGGGGTGGCACCGAATTTCAGAAATGTGGCAAATCCCCTGTGTTTTTGAACCCTGACCCCGCGGATCTGCGTGAGGGGTGGCGCCGAATTTCAGAAATGTAATAAATCCCCTGTGTTTTTGGACCCTGACCCCGCGGATCTGCGTGAGGGGTGGCACCGAATTTCAGAAATGTGGCAAATCCCCTGTGTTTTTGGACCCTGACCCCGCGGATCTGCGTGAGGGGTGGCACCGAATTTCAGAAATGTGGCAAATCCCATGTGTTTTGGACCCTGACCCCGCGGATCTGCGTGAGGGGTGGCACCGAATTTCAGAAATGTGCAAATCCCATGTGTTTTTGGACCCTGACCCCGCGGATCTGCGTGAGGGGTGGCACCGAATTTCAGAAATGTGGCAAATCCCATGTGTTTTTGGACCCTGACCCCGCGGATCTGCGTGAGGGGTGTCGATTTCGAGCCCCCCCAGCAATTCAGACAACGCGCCCAGGGGGTGCTAAAAATCCTGTTTGGGCCTCCCCCCCCCTCGCGCGGTCAATCAACTAGTTACAGTAACCAGCAAGAAGCAGAACTGTAACACTGGAAACTACAAGCTACAACTGGTACAGGAAACTGCGAATCACGGTCCTACAGCCTGGTGGCCCCACAAGGGGGCCGGCGGATTATTATTCCTCCTCCTTCTCTGTCCTCCGCAGTTGCACAACATGAGCACTACTCTCCTCTCACCCCGAGTATGTGCGGGGACTGTTCGCCGCCCTCCGCGTACTGTTTATACGCGCGTGGTGTGGGTGGGTGGGTATTCCGTGCGTGTTGCTTTCCACTTCGGACGGTCTCTGTTCTTCGTGAGTCGTGTTCCTGCTGCAGCAGTGGCCTCACTTTAGGATCGCCGCCCTCCGCGTAATGTTTATACGCGCATGATGTGGGTGGTTGGTATTTCGTGCGTGTTGCTTCCACTTCGGACGGTCTCTGTTCTTCGTGAGTCGTGCTCCTGCTGCAGCAGTGGCCTCACTTTAGGATCGCGGTTCTGCTCCCGTCGTTCAACATGGCGCTCTCGCCCCAGCGTGGGCCCCTTCTCTGAATCCGAGTCATTCCTCATCGTTGTCGCCCCCCTCTTTACCCCTCCTCGGCCTTCCCCTTCTTCTCCAGCTTCTTTCTCTCCTTCAACTCTAGTTCCTGTTGCTGCTGTTCATCTCCTTCTCCTCCTTCCTAATTATCCTCCTTTTCCTCCTGCTCATCCGCCTCCTTCTGCTCCTCCTCCTCCTCCTCCTCCTCCTCTTTCTCTACTGTACGCAGATCCCCTTATCCGGATGCGCTGCACAACACGATGGGTTTTTGTTTTTGAGTTCCAGGTACGTTATGACACGCGTGCGCGGATGAACACATAATCAGCGCAATGAGAAGGGATGGGAGGGAGGGGTTCGATGTCAGATGTGGCGCGAGCGCACCTAACTTGTCGGCCCCCTCTCTCCCCTCCCCTGGCGTGTAGGACGCATTCGATGGTGCACGGCCCTCACGCGCAGCGCGGTTGAAGGCGCCTCGCGCTGGTTCCGGTGCGATCGGGCCGATGCCCTGGGTTGGCAGGGTTTGTGAGGTTGACCTGTGTATACCCGGACCCGTTTGTCGTCATTGTCCCAGACCCCTTGCTCATCCTCCTGCTCATCCTCATTTCCTCTTGCTCATCCTCCTGCTCATCCGCCTCCTCCTGCTCCTGCTCCTCCTCCTCTTCCTCCTCCTCCTGTAATGTACGCAGCTCCCCTTTACCGAGTACGCCGCACAACAAGATGATGTCGTTTTTCGGAGGTCCATGTCCGCAAGCAATGACACGCGCGCACCAGACCCCCTCATGTCGCAAAGAGAAGCGCTCCGACTTTTTCGGTCTCGGGGGTCCCCTGCCAGCCCCATGGCGATCCTCGTCATCGGGGGGGGGCTTCACCTTTCAGTCGGGCACGTCCCTCGACAGGCCGAATATTCAAAATTTGTCGAGCAAGAAGTCAGAGGACGATGTTTCGACTATGTTCGACAATGTTGGTGTATTGTTTGATCTGGTTTGCCTTTTTCTTCTAAAACTCGCCTGTAGGGGGACATGCCCGACCTAATCTTACCTTGGCCCCCTGGACCTGCAGAGAGCGGCGCAGGATGAACAGCTGGGCTCGGGGATGGGCTCGAGCCTTCTGGGGTCAGCGCTGCGCCGGGCATCACGCTGTCCGGGATCTGATGCTACAACGTCCCAGGGGCGGAGCAGTTGTTGCATGGAGTCCTGGCCCGGATCTGGGCTCCAGCTTCCCTGGAGAGGTGGATGCCGAGGTGGCCGCGTCCACCCAGGCGGCGGTGAGGTCCGTGGAGGCGCGGCTGGAGGCGAAGCTGTCGCACGTGGCCGAGCTGGAGGCGAAGCACTCGCAGGCCGCCGAGGAGCTCGGTGCGCGCGCGGCGCAGGTGGAGGGGCAGCTGTCGCACGCCGCCGAGGAGCTGCGGGCGCGCGCCTCGCGCGTGGAGGCGCAGGTGGGGTCTCTGCAGAGCTCTCTCGAGGCCGTCGGTCGGGGGGCGAGGGCCGCCGATCCGCGGGTCGACACCCTGGAGAAGGACGTCCGCCGCCTGGAGGGCGTGTGCTCGCAGGTTCGGCGGCGCGCCGAGGGGGGGGAGTGCGAGGGGGGGCGCGCCCTCTCACAGAGGGCGGCGGGGCTTCTCGGAAGCCTTCCGGCCTCCCGAGAAGCGCCTCTGTCCTCGGAGAAGGCTCAGAAAGCTTCGAGAGGAGGAGGAGGAGGAGGAGGAGGAGGAGGAGGAGGAGAGAGTGGGGAGGAGCAGGAGGGCAGGAGGAGGAGGAGGAGGAGGAGGAAGGAGGAGGAGGAGGTGAGGAGAGGAGAAGAGGTGAGGAGGGAGGATGGAGGAGGGAGAGGGAGGAGTAGGGAGAGAGGAGAGAGAGGAGGGAGAGGATGGGAAGGAGGGAGGAGAAGGGAGGCGGGAAGGATGTAGGAGGAGGAGAGGAGGAGGAGGGAGGAGGAGGAGGAGAAGGAGGGGGCCGGAGGCCTTCTAGGCCCGCCCCGTCGGGCTTCCCCTTTGGCGGCGCCGCGGACAGGTGGGCGCGATGGGCGGGCGCGTGAAGGCTCTCGAGGACGCCAAGGCGGACCGGCAGACTACGAAGTCCATGGTGGCAGACTGCCTGCGGGAGACCGAGACACCAGGGGGGGCCGGTGGAGGCACCAGGGACGGGTCCTAGGGCCTAGGAGGCGGAGGAGGAGGAGGAGGAGGAGGAGGAGGAGGAAGAGGAGGAGGAGAATAGGGGCCAGTCCACGACCTTGCCTCGCCTCCACCAGGAACAGGGTGGCGTTGAGGAGGGGGAATGGGGGGAGGAGGAATTGATGGAGAAGGGATGGTCCGGCCAGGGGGAGGCATGGGGGAGGAGGAGCAGGAGCAGGGGCAGCAGCAGCTCTCCTTCCTCTTCCTCCTCCCGCTTGCGATCGAAACTTAGTGGATAGCGTGCCACTCCGCTGGTTCTGGACCACCACGCTTCGGCGCGACACGCCGTCCACGTCCCCGAGCGTCAACGTCCCGAGCTGTTCCCGGCCTCCCGCCACGCCGAGCGGAGCGGCACGCTGCCCGCTCGAAGGGCATAGCGTGTCGCCGGGGCCGACACAGCGACACGCTGTGCAAAAGTTCCTGGCAGTACGTACGTGCTCCTCTGTCTCTCTGTTTCTTCTTCCTCTTATCATTTGTCGTACCCTTATAATCAGTACTCGTATTCGTACAAATCGTAGTATTCACATTATTATGGTTATTCGCATCCTCCTCGTCATTATTATTCCAGCATGCTCCTCGACCGTCTCTCCCTTACTCATCGTTCTCGCTACCTCCCCTCCTGGAACATTCGAGTTGTCGTCGTATACCGTTCAACCTTAAAACATAGTTTCCGTTACCTGGATGACTTAATCCTTAAAGTTTGCATTGTTGTTGTACGTCCAGCTTCACGTTTCATTGTTTTCGAGTGTGTTATTCCTCGTCTGCATTCCTCTTTATGCACCCCTCCTCTTGTCTTCATGTTCCTCCTCCTCGGACTTCTCTCATTATCCCCAAGCCGTCCGCCTCGTATCTCATTTCCCCTTTTTCCGTCCCCCCGCGTCCCTTCCCAGTGGTCGTCTTCTTCTCCTCCCTCATCCCCCTCGTCGTTCACATCCTTATCATGTGCCCCCTCTTCCTCCAGCCACCTTCCTTCATGACAAATGCCCTCGTCATGCCACAAGACGTGTCGATAGGGCCGTCCAGGTTGTTCACCGCAGGATTCTCACACCGCATTTCCGAAAGCTTCAAAATTCCACCAGCGTCCCGCAGGTAGGCCAGCTCGTTACATCTATTTGATTCCTGCCCCAGTGCTTTTGACATGTGTCTCAGAAGCCATCAGGTTCACGGATGGAGGACAGTGCCGTAGTCGAAGTTTGGCGCCCGCCCTCAATGTCGAGCACGTTCGTTCTAAAGCATTGCAGGAGGCGCTTTAATGTAGGTTGCGTTTTTTCAGCGCGTGCGTTTCGCCGTCAGGCCGCTCCCGTCCGTCTTTGGAGTTCGCACGCGTTTGCTAGGATGGATGGTGGGAGTTTGTCAGCATCTGGCTATCGCCTCAGCGCCGCGCGTGTTCCTCTTGGAAGTTCCCACGGCTGGCACGGACGGACGGCAGCTCTTTCGACCATGCCAATCTCGTTGAAGTCTTTCTTTTGGGTGATGTGTGTGACCTTCAGGCCTGAGGTGTCTTGGAGATTTACAGGTGGTGGGTGTCTAGTCCCCTCCCAAAGTCCCCGCAGGTGACCCTTGGCTCTCGCCCCATGAGGCATCTTTACGCATTCGCGCCTCTGGCATGACTTAACATAGTTCTCGGGAGTTCAGCACCTACAGGTGTGAGTGCAGGCCCTTTTCAAGCTAGTGATCTGTTTGCAGCGGCGCGCAGGCCTGTGTTAAAGTTTCCACCACCTGCACGTATTTAGTGCGAGTCCTGTTGCTTCCTCCCGTACTTGTATTCTTCCACACTCCGTCTACCCCTTCCTGTTTTTCTTCACCCTCCTTCTCTCTTCCTCCTCAGGTTCCCCTCTTCTTCATCCTCATGCTCTGCATCCGCCGCCGTCTCGTCACCACCAATCCGTCCTCTAGCCCTCTCTCCCCTGACTCTGTCCGGGAGATGTTCGGCCCTGCCTCTGTTTTGTTTCGTTCTGCATGGGATTTCAAGCACCAATTTGTCTTATGATGTGTGTTCCACTCTGATTGCTTTCTCTGTGTCAAAGCGGTGCTCCCGCTGTAGCGGGGATCTCTTTTTCGGATCGGTGTTTAGAATAGCGCTCTCGCCCCAGCGCTGACCACTTGGATCCGAGTCTTTGTTTCATCGTTGTCGCCCCCCTCATTTCCCCTCCCCGCCTTCCTCTAGTCCTCCTGCTCCTCCTGCTCTTTCTACTCCAGCTCCTGCTGTTGCTGTTCGTCCTCATCTTTCCTCGGGCCAGCTCTTCAAGTATCCTGTTATGGGTGGATCCAGCTCTAATTGAATTGTATTAAGGCTCGATCCAGCTCTAATCCAACCAACTAATAGAATCGCATCACATTTGGATCCCAGTCCGACGGAATTCGATTTCAGCATTACTGAAACATCCTTATAGAATTCGGTCCAGCTTCAAGAGAACCCTAGCAGGGCCCGATCCATCTTCAATATAATCCTACTGGGGCTGGGTTCACCTCTGAGAGAACCCCACTTGGGGTCAATCCATCTTGAGTGCAATCGCACTAGGGTTCGATCCAGCTTTAATTCATCCCACTAGCGCTCGATCGTCGTCGTCGCTGGCGTCGTCGTACGCGTCGTCTTGGTCGTCGTCGTCGTCGTCGATGTCGTCGGCGGCGTCGTCGGCGTCGTCGTCGTTGTCGGCATCGGCGTCGGCGTCGCCAGCGTCGTCGTCGTCGTTGTCGTCGTGGTGCGCCGTCCGTCGTCGTCGTCGTCGTCGTCGTCGTCGTCGTCGTCGTCGTTGTCGCCGTCGTCGTCGTCGTGGTGTGTCGTCGTCGGTCGTCGTTGTCGTCGTCGTCGTCCGCGCGGTTTGCTGGCGGCGACGTCTTTGTCGTTGCGGGGGGGGGGATTCTGGACCCCTCGAATAATTGTCGGGTGGGGGGGTGGGGGTGGGGGCCTGGATCCCCCCGTATATCATTTCCTGCGGGGATTGTTCCAGAACCCCCCCCTTCGTTTGGGGGGGAGTTGAGCCCCCCCCCTTAGCAGCGGCAGAACGCTTGTTCAGTTATATATATATATATATACATATATATATATATATATGTATAGATATATGTGTGTATATGTGTATTATGTTCGGAGTCCTGGGAGTGAAATCCTGCTTTGTCTGAGTCTTCGGGGAGGAATGACTGCAGCATCGGTGATGCGTCTTGGGCTTACACTGGTCCTCCTCATCCCCCTTCTCCCTCTCCCCTCCTCTCCCCCCCTGTCCCCTCCTCTCTTCCCGCTCACCTCCACTCCTCCTAACCGATCCCTCCCTGCTGCCTGCTCTCCCTCCGCCCCTCCTCGCCCGCAGCGCCCTCCCAGGAGATCACCGCCGCCAGCCCGGAGGAGCGCGGAACGCCGGAGGTGTCACCGCCTTGCTTCGGGTGCTCCCAGGAGTGTCCCTGACCCACGGGCCCCCCAGGAATTCCAAGGCGGCCCCCACGGCGTCCAGAGCACAAGAGGCTCCAGAATGGAGCCCAAAGCTGGGGGGCACCGTTGGGCCACGGACACCTTCAGCAGCCCCCTGCTCCTCCTCTCAGGGGCAGCGTCAGAGGGATGGGGTGTGCGGCCAGAAACTTTTGGATAGCGTGTCGCTCCGCTGGTTGTGGCCCACCACGCTTCGGCGCGACGCGTTGTCCATTTCCAGGTCGCCAGGCGTCAACGTCTCAAGCCTTTCCGAGCCTCCCACCCCGCGGAGCGGAGCGACACGCTATCCGCTCGCAAGGCATTGCGTGTCGCCTGGGCCGCCGTGGCGACACGCTATGCAAAAGTTCCCAACCGTGAACTGAGGGGGGAAGCACCGACCCCGAATCACCAATTGATAGCCGACGGGGGCCTGATAGTCCGCCCCGCCCAGGAGCGTCTGGATTCGCTAGCGGTGGC